CAGGAGTTGCTTGTTAAAGGGTAAGTTCCTGAATCAACCTCCCTAATTCAATAGCTGAGTCCTGGAATCTGTGTTTTGATAAGCACCTCCTGATGCTACTATCTAGTCATCCTCAACACTCCCCTCCCCCTCTCACCTCCTCCCATAAGCCTTCATTCACTCATCTAGCCTGGTTAACGTCCCTCCCCAGCAGCCCCTACGCACATATGCACATATATCTACCAGTATTTATCCCCTTAGACGGAAATGGCTTCTGTGGCTGACTTCCAACTAAATTATAAACTTCCTAGGGGAAGTTCTGTGTCTCTAGATCTGTCTTCTCTGTGCCCCAGGCAGTGTCTGGCACATAGTAGGTACTTAAAAAATGTAAATTGAACTAAAGAGAACTTTGTGAATGAGGGTAGACATCGGGGCTTTATAAGACAGGTACAGAAAGACACACTTAGCTCCCATGTGTCCCCAGGGCAGCGGTGTCCCTGATGGAGTGTGTCTGGTGTGCTGTGGTGTGAAGATGAGCATTAACACTGGTATTTCACCAGGCAATGTGCTGGGTGCTACATACGTCTGTATTGAGCACCTACCATGTTAAGCACTGTAAGTTACTTTACACATGTTCACTACTTTTTAAACAGAAAAACTCTCTATGAAATGGGATTAGCTCGTTTTACAGAGGTTGGCATGAAAGCTAGAGGGGCTCAAGCACAGACTGGGAGCCAGAACCCAGGTCAGTTGGTTTTTAACACCCACCCTGGTTTTCAGAAGCCCTGACTCCCCTGGTAGCAGCCATCCATGTCAGCCCTCAGCCCATCCTTGTTGCTCACCTAATGTCGTCAACATGTAATTTGGTCCAGGCACTAGATGGAGCTTTAGGTGAGGGACAGAGGAGACCTAACTGCTGCTCCCCACCGACCTCATCCCCTGCTGAATCTGTGTCAGGCACGCCCTTGCCACTTGTGGTGAACCGGCTACTTTGAAGTGGTGAGTGGTAAACCGATATTGTGATTTAAAATTAAGAAATGTGTATTTGGTCTTGCTCCCCATTTCTAGTACAGAGCCCCTAAAAACCCTTGGAATTTCCTAAGTGATCAGAGCAATAAAGGTGTCTTTTGTTATGTATAATAAGCCCCCTTTCAACCATGCTGAAGTTTATGTTAATATAGTGGTTTTTGAAAAGCCCCGACAGCCCAGCCGACAGCCGAAGGAGGGGGGGCTGGTTGCCAGGGGAGCCAACCAAGTGATGAGAGGATTGAAACTTTCAGCCCCACCTGGACCTCTAGGAAGGGGAGAGGGGCTGGAAGTTGAACAAATCACCAGTGACCAATGATTTAATGAATCATGACTTTGTAATGAAGCCTCCATAAAACCCCCAAAGCATGGGGTTTGGAGAGCTTCTGGGTTAGTGAACAGGTGGAGGTGTTGGGAGGATGGCACACCTGGGGGGCATGAGAGTTCTGCGCCCCTTCCTATATACTGTGCCCTATGCATCTCTTCCAGCTGTTTCTTTAATTGCCTTTATAATAAATTGGTGATTTAGTAAGTAAACTGTTTCTCTGAGTTCTATGAACCACTCTAGCAAATTAATTGACCCTAAGGAGAAGGTCGTGGGAACCTCCGATCTATAGCTGGTCAGTCCGAATCACAGGTGACAACCTGGACTTGCGATTGGCATCTGAAATGTGGTGGGGGTGCGGGGCCAGTCTTGTGGGACTGAGTCCTTAGCCTGTGGAACCTGATGCTGTGTCCAGGTAGATAGTGTGAGACTTGAATTCAACTGTACGACACCTGGCTGGTGTCTGAGAATCTGTGAATTGTTTGGTGATCCACATGTCTGGCGCTCAGAAGGGCCCGAAGTGAAGGAGAGTACTGAGAGCAGAGGAAACACACAGGAGCGTTTTTCCCTTGGCAGGTAAGACAGGGAAGAGATAAAGACAGTCTCATCATGGCTCCCCTCGTCTTTGGCCAGCTATGCCCTGAAGCCCAGGGAGGAGAGTGAGAAAGCCCCATTCATCTAGCTAGTTATAATCCATAAGGTACAGAACGGAACGCTGCGGAAGTGAGCAGACACTCCACGGCTTTGAGCCCACGGTGTGCGTGTAATAAGGTGGAGCCCCAGCCAGCTTCATACCTGATCTCACCTTTTCTTCACATAAGGGGCCTCACAAGGTAAAGCAGACACTCGACAAATATTTTCCTGTCTGACTTGCACTTCCAAAATGGTTTCTGGGTGTGACTCCATCACGGGCTGGACCACGAGCTCTGTTTCAGAGAAAGGTCAAGACCGTCTTACCGGGTAATCGGATTGGCTTCCACGGGGCAGAGTTTGGCACGTAGGCGTGCTTCGTGGCGGTGACGATCAACTGGCTGCCCAGCTTATACTGGAACTTGATGAAGGCGACGCCATCTGTCCCCGAGCTGCCAGAAGCAATGGAGACCTGGTTGGTGAAAATCTCGATAAGCGCATCGGGCACGGGCTGATGGGTGCTGGCGTCACTGATGTGGACCTTCAGTGTCACCTCTGGAGGAGGATAAAGCAAAACAGAACAACAGCTGTTAACTGGGCGACTTCAATAGCGATTCTGCTGTAACTACGATAAGAGGTGGAAAGTGTGATATGATAAGAAAACCTAGATCTACATCCAAAATATGAGTCATTTTAACCAGGGAAAAATTTCTTCTTAGAAATCCTGTTTTCGTTTACACGATGTCCTATTTTGTTCAAAACCAATGATCCTCATAAGCTGCTTTCTCTTTGTTCCTCCCTGCTCATATCAACAAATAATTGAGATAAAAATCCAATGCCTTTAAGACATTGCTCAACAGACACAATGCTCTTATCCTTCCCAGTGCTGCCTGCAAACACAGCCCCAACAGGCTCCAGCTGCTACAAAATGCTCTAAGATTTGCAGCCATATTCTTCAATGGTCCCAGGGAACATGGATACGAGCAGCCCAGGACTGCTGTGCTGGTAACCATGAAGACTAGATCAAAATGCAGTCTACAGATCATCAAAAGGGAGAACCCATAGAGTGGGAGAAGATAAGTTTAGAAGGAGAAAAAAAATTAAAAAGTAAATGTTTAAAAATATCAATAAAGCTGAGTTTGTAACACTGGCAAACAACAGATAACGAATGTAAGAAATGGACAGATTCAAATTAATGTTAAAAAAGTTAAAATAGAATGGATCATTTTCATTTATTTATGCAAAAGATGTTTATTAAGCTGCTACTCTCTCCCTAGAATTGTGATTAATTATGCGAACTACAGCGGTAAAGAAAAGGAATACGTAGGCAAGTGCTATGCCCGAGGGATGCTTGGTACAGGCACAGGGGGCCCTAACGGAACAGCATATGCAAAGGCTCAGAGGCGAGAAAAAGCCATGCTTCTTGGAGAAGTGGAAACAGGTTCTGAAAGCTGGATGGAGAGTGCGAAGGATCTGAGGCCCAGTGAGAGACAAAGCTAGTGAGGTAAGTAGGGGCCAGTCCCTCATGGCTCCATGAGCAACCTAAAAGGATCATTCTTTATCCCAAGGGCAATGGGAAGTCAGTCTGGCTCTGGGTGAAGGATGAACTGGGGGAGATATGAGACGAGACTGAGCAACTGGTGAAGAGGCCTCTGTAATAACCCAGGAAGAGATGATGAAGCAGACTCCAGCATCACAGTGGACGTCAATTAAAGGATTCTATTCCAGAACAATCAGAAGTGTATCCTGCTCCAATAAACCCCTGCCCCTTAAGTGTGAAGGGAGTGGACAGTACCCAGTGACATAAGGAGCCTGACAGTAGGGGGAGGGAGGCACGTGGCAGTTGCCCCTGCGGGAACTGCCCAGTGGTCCACACTCCAGAGTTCTACAGTGACCCACACTCCAGCTTTCAATTGTAGTTCCACCAAATTGTAGCCACGTGACCTTGGGCAAGTTACTCATTCTGTCCAGATCTCAGATTCCTCATCTCTAAACTGGGGATGATAACAAAACACATCGCGACATACAGGTGGGAACATTTAGCTCAACGCCTTACTGAGTAAGCCTAAACAAAAGGGTTTACCATTATGTTATGCCAATCGCTATGCTTGAAGGCACAGTGTCCGAGGGTGTCAGGATGGTGCACACACAAGGCAGTTGGAGGGAGAAGGGTATAAAACAAAGTGGAAGGACAAGACAACCCTCCCAGGGGTTACTAACTTTATATCCAAAGCTCTTCCTCAACCGGGCAACCACATTGAGAAGAATTTCTTTTGCTTTGAGGACCTCCATCTTGGTAACTTGCCAACTATCTTATGATACCAGAGCACCCTTTTCACACTACGAATTTCAGTCAATCATTCTCTCACCCTCTTTTTCACAGACTGACTTAACACATTGACTAGATGACCACAGAGAACAAACAGGTAAAGAATCCTAGACCTAGGTACTATAGATCTGTACCAAATAAATGTCTCCAAACCTTGCAGAGAGAAAAAAAAAAAAGTGCCACAGAAACAACTATAGGAAGAGAAAACTAATGCCAAGAGGGATAAAATCAACATCACGACAATCAAGGTTATGACATTACAAAGCCTATTTAGTCAATTCCCTCCAATCTTATCAGCACCATCTTAATGCAGATTTGCAGGATGTGCCCCACACCAGTGCTTTCTTATTTAACTCCATCTTCCTTGTCCCCAGGAGACAGGCAAAGTTGTAGCATAAATTAACTCAGTTTTCATTAATATGCGCATAGGAATCCTCTAGAACAGGGAGTGTGTGTGGGAAGGTGGTTTTGTAGCGCTGCACTGATGATTTATGCAATTTTATGGTAATGCAACATTTATTAACAATTGGGATTACAAGGGTTCTGCTCTCCACTGTTTGCTGAGAAGGCAAAAGCAGCTGAGATTTGGGAAAAGCTAAAGGCTTCCTATATAAACAGAAAAAGCAGTTCTACTGTAATCAACATTCTAAAGTCTACCACTTGAATTCTGTCTCATATAGGAAGCCTAATTTATATTTTGCAATTTGTATACTTTGAAAGAGATTATTTAGCTACTTCTTTTGGTGTGACAGGGCGTAAAAAAAAAAAAGTCAATATGGCTAGGTAATGATTACAGACCACTGGGGTATAATTTTTTTGTTTTGTTTTGCTATTTGCTTTATTCATACAATAGTATAGGATGAAAAGTCCTCCAGTTCAATAGCTCTAGATCTAGTTCATTTTTTAAAAATAGGTTTTTCTTTTTAGAGCAGTTTTAGGTTCACAGCAACACTGAGCAGAAGTTACAGAAATTTCCCATTGGGGTATCCTTTTTCTAGAATAACATTTAGAATTCGATTATCCATTCAACAGCGAACAAAATTATTACTACCAGGGGAGTAATCTTAGGACTAGGTGAGTGAGTCACGATTTACTAACAGTACTGGTATTTTGTAGATAAAAGGAAGACCCTCTAAATGGCCCCAGACCTAAATTACATTAAGATGTTTCCTTGTTGGCCAGTGAGAGCTGAGGGACCTGCTGAGCTGAGGGACCTGATTACTAAATCGAGGCTGGAATGTCATCCTTGGACTCCTACTATGCACATCCATCACCAAGTTCTGATTTTAATTCCAGAATGTATGTCTCAAAGCAGGTCTTTCTTTCCTAGCCCTGTTAACAGTACCCTATTTCAGGCCCTTGCCATCTGTCAACCAGACTGCCACCCAAACTCTTCACAGAAACTGCCACTGTCCTCCAAGCTGACCCCTGAAACCCCACTAAAGCCAGAGGGAGTTATCTGACATATTGATCTACTTCCTGTCCCTCTTCAAACCCTTCTGTGACACCACCAAATATGGCTGAGGGCCAGGTGTGGCCGGCTGCCTGTTTTAGTATAGTCCATGAGCTAAGAATGGTTTTTACACTTTTAAATGATTTTTTTTTTAAGATTTTTATTGGGGAATTGGGGGATGGGAACAGTGCTGGGGAATTGGGGGAAGGGGAACAGACAAGTTGCTGTCGTTTTGTTCTTCAGTCTAGTTGTGGAGGACGTTGCTTCACTGGCCCAAGTTGGCACCATCATTGCGCTCTTCCCGGGCGAGGCACATCAGTCGCCGGCTTCTGGACGGCCGCTCACTGTGGCTGCTGGCCGCTCACACTGGCTGCTGGCTACACACGGTAGCCCATGGCAACCCACTGCCACAGGGGCTGCAGCCTACGCCGTCGCCGGCGACTCACGACAGCCCAGCTCCAGGTTGAGCTGTTGTTCAGCATCTTAGCTGTAGAGGGCAGTGTCACTGGCCCTCAGGTGGGATCCAAACCGGGGCGGGGCCCTCTGGCGTCCCAAGCCAGTTCTTAACCATCGCACCACTCGGCCGGCCCTGCTGGAACATTTTGAAGCAAATCCCAGATATCGTATTTGGTCACATTGTTTCTCCATAAATATTTCAGTGTACAACAGATAAGGACTTCAAAAAATCATACCCAAAATGACATTATCATACCCAATTCACATAACAACTTCTTTATATCATCTCATACCCAGTAAGCTTTCAATTTTCTATCTAAAAAAAAATTTTTTTTACAATTCTGACCATCCTATCTAAAATGTCAATCCAATCCCACCCTACATGTCTGATATTATCCTGCTCTACTTTTCCTTTTATGCATGACATTATCGATTGTAGCATGATTATAATTTGTTATTAACTCTACCAGAATGCAAGCTTGAAGAGAGTTGTGTTGTCTTGATTCTTTTTTCTTCTTTATCATGTATCTCAAGCACATAGAATAGTGTCTGACACATAGTAGGCACTCAATATATTGGGTTGTCGGAAAAGTCATGACGTAATTTTTTCTATGTTTTTCATTGCAAAAATGCATCATGACTTTTCTGACAACCCAATATATATGTTGAACGATCAACTAAAACTTACAGGCATTTCTGGATATCATGTGGTACATGACCTAAATATCCCCAGGTTTCTTTGTTGTTGTTGCTCAATTTATTTCATATTCATTTTTTAAAATAGATACTATCAAAATTCATTTGAAAAACATTAATCAATTCAGATAACTAATTAATTACATTTAATCAGAAAATATTTCTCAATCAGCTATTGTATGCTTGGTATGATACTAGGTACCATGGGAGGTTAAAAAAAAGAAAAGAGATATGGCTCTTATTTTTAAGAAGTTTACAGTTTTTGGAGGGTAGGGAGAGTTAGGACCAACCCACGTGCCAGAGAGCAAAAGGTATGAAACTGGGTAAAATAGAGTTAAAAACATAGCTAAGAAGCGACTAATGAGACCTGGAATTTATAAACAAAAACAAAACAAAGAAAGTAAAGAGATCTGAAAGTATCCTAGAGGTAGAGGTCATATAGGGATGCTATTTAAAAATTTAAAAAGGGGTATCCAGGAGCCATACTGTTGAATTGAAAAGAGCACTAGCTAAACAGGTATGCACTACATGAATATCGGCTCCGACTGCGGCGTATCACGTTCACTTGGAGAATGCTTCTTGGAAGAGACGAAACTGGAAGCTGAGACTGGAGGGTCAGGT